GCGAAAAGGAAAAGATATTGACTCTGTGCAGAGTAAATCTAAAAATGGGGCTGTTATATAACGTACCTATGAACACTAATGGTTTATGTTCCTCACTCAGTAACCTTTTCTAAGCTACAACGTTTTGACGAAAAGAAAAAAGATATCCACTCTGTGGAGAGAAAATCTAAAAAGTGGGGATTATATACCGTATCTATGAACACTAATGGCTATGTCCCAATCTTCATAAATACGTTGGATACTATTATAAGTGGAAGCAATATGCTGTCTAAGTAGTCCATTACTAGCAGTGGTTTACCTACTTCAAGCCGCTGGCGAGTATTGTATTATGTTGATGTTATAAAGATTAACATTTCATTTCTAAGTTCCGTTATGTTTATTTCTTATTCAGTAACCTTTCCTTGGTTAAAAATATTCATGTACTCTTTTCCCTTGCTTTCCTCTTCGTAACCATTTCTTTTTCGATAATAACTTCTGCGATTGTCCTGGATATTTTATTCATTTTTTAGTGAACACATAACTTTCTTTATTTCTATTTTTTACCTCTTCTCACGTTTCTGCGCTTTTGATTAGTTTTTCGTTCATTTTGTTGTCGGTCTTTTTTATTTACGTTCTTTATTTTTGTATTTTTTTTTTCTTTATTTCTTTGTCCGTTCATTTTTCGTTTTTTTTTTTTTTTCAATTTTTCTCCTTGATTCCCTTATATTTCTGCATTCTTATGCTTGTAGATTTTTCACTTTTCTCCTGACTTCTTTCTTCTCTTAAGTCATGTTTATTTTTATCTCTTTTTTACCTTTTTTTATCAAGTTTTTTTTTTTTTTATATGCTTTCTTTCTTTTGTTTTTTTTTTCTGCCTCTTTGTTAATGGTATCTTTATTTAAAAACACTCTTATCGTTTTTTACTTTCTTTTTTACACAACTTCATTTTATTATTGATTATTTTATCAACTCTTCCTTTATTTCTTTCTTTCGTTATTCTTTCTTCTCTTTATTCTCTTTCTTTCTATCTTCCTTAATTCTTCCTGCTGTCATTCTCTTTCTTTCTTTCTTTCTTTCTTTCTTTCTTTCTTCTTCCTGCTCTCAATATTTTTCTTTTATCTTTTTCCTTGATTTTTCCTGGTCTCATCCTTTCTTTTCCTTTCTTTCTTAATTCTTCTTTCCCTTTCTTTCTATCTTCCTTATTTCTTCCTGCTGTCATTCTCTTTCTTTCTTTCTTTCTTTCTTTCTTTCTTTCTTTCTTTCTTTCTTCTTCCTGCTCTCATTATTTTTCTTTTATCTTTTTCCTTGATTTTTCCTGGTCTCATCCTTTCTTTTCCTTTCTTTCTTAATTCTTCCTCCCCTCATTCTCTATCATTCTTTCTTTCTTTCTCTCTTTCTTTCTTTCTTTCTTCTTCCTGCTCTCATTTTCTTTTTTCTTTTTCTTTTTTCCTTAATTTTTCCTGCTTTCATTCTCATTCTTTCTTTTCCTTTCTTTCTTAATTCTTCCTACTCTCATTTCTTTCTTTCTTTCTTTCTTTCTTTCTTTCTTTCTTTCTTTCTTTCGTTATTCTTCCTGTCCTCATTCTTTTTCTTTCTTTGTCTTTTTTCCTTAATTTTTCCTGCTCTCATTCTTACGTTTCCTTTCTTTCTTAATTCTTCTTTTCCTTTCTTTCTATCTTCCCTAATTTTTCCTGCTTTCTTTCTTTCTTTCTTTCTTTCTTTCTTTGTTTCTTTCTTCCTGCTCTCATTTTCTTTTTTTTTTTTTTCTTTCCTTAATTTTTCCCGTTTTCATTCTCATTCTTTCTTTTCCTTTCTTTCTTAATTCTTCCTTCTCTCATTTTCTTTCTTTCTTTCTTTCTTTCTTTCTTTCTTTCTTTCTTTCTTTCTTTCTTTCTTTCTTCTTCCTGTCCTCATTCTCTTTCTTTCTTTTTCTTCTTTCCTTAATTTTTCCTGCTTTCATTCTCATTCTTTCTTTTCCTTTCTTTCTTAATTCTTCCTACTCTCATTTTTTTCTTTCTTTCTTTCTTTCTTTCTTTCTTTCTTTCTTTCTTCTTCCTGCCCTCATTCTCTTTCTTTCTTTTTCTTCTTTCCTTAATTTTTCCTGCTCTCATTCTTTCTTTTCCTTTCTTTCTTAATTCTTCTTTCCCTTTCTTTCTATCTTCCTTAATTTTTCCTGCTTTCATTCTCTTTCTTTCTTTCTTTCTTTCTTTCGTTATTCTTCCTGCTGTCATTCTTTTTTTTCTTTTTTCTTCTTTCCTTAATTTTTCCTGCTCTCATACTCATTCTTTCTTTTCCTTTCTTTCTTAATTCTTCCTTCTCTCATTCTCTTTCTTTCTTTCTTTCTTTATTTTTCCGTCTCTTTCTTTCTATCTTTTCTTTCTTTCTCGCAAGTTGTTTCCATTAATTCTCTTTTTATCACTTCTCTTTTTTTTCTTAGTGAAAAGTTGGCTTATCTTTCTTCTTCTTTGCGCCGTGTCCATTCAGGGCATTAGAGATCATTTCTCTCCTTTGTTATCTTCTAAAACCCGTCCGGCCATCCATTTGCACCAAACTCATTAGGTAGTTTATTTTTTGTTTTCCTCTCTCCCTCTTAGCTTTCCAGCGAGTATCAAATTTGTAAGCCTTCTTTCCTCATTATGTGCCCTAGAAATTTCAAAATCTTTCTGATGTTAAGTATAAACATGCTTTTTGCTTCTATTTTCTTTAAACCTTCGTCGTTACTCACATGTTCGGTCCACGGTATTCTCAGCATCTTTCTGTAGAACCACATTTCTGTTGCTTCAAGTCTCTTCTTCATCTGTGACGAGATTGTCTAGCATTCACTGCCGTATAAGAGATACGTATATGTAGATTTGATATCGGCTGAACCAAAACTTAAAAAGTTACTAATGTAGTGGTCAGGGAAGCATCCTCTATGGAGTCTGCTTCATAATGTAGAGGCTTTTCGGAACAATATAATACAAAACAAATGAAGATGATTCACCCTTTTTTAAAATGTATAGCGTGTTTTAACTAAATGTTCGAACTGATAGAATTAAGGAAGCAAGCGACAGTGTAGCGTTTTCTACCTTGCTATTTTCGTTACTTTCTATCTTGCTTATTCCTCCTTTAATTATCTTCTATGTTCGTCTTATATTTTCTGTTTTTTTTCTAATATCGTCTATTTAACCCTTCTCTCTTGCCTTTGCCTTATTCTTTTTTTTATTCTTCTTGCCTTTAATTATGATTTTTTTTTTGTATTCCTTTCTGCATTTCTTCCTTCCTTCCTTTCTTTCTTTCTTCCTTCCTACATTCCTTTACCATTCTCTTTTTGTTTCTTCTCCTCGTAATTATTTTAAGAAAAAAATATTTCTACCGGATTTATTTCTTCTATAATTTGTCCACTCATTCCTGTTTTGATTGTTGGCTGTCTAAAGTCAATTTGATTTTGTTTTTATAGCAATTTAGTCCATAATGTCTTACGGCCACATTACGTAAAATATCCGTTTACGTACAACCACCGAAGTTAAGCAACAGCGACTCAGGTCAGTATCTAGATGGGTGACCGTTTGGGAATACCTGGTGTTGTAAGCCTGGGTGTGCTGGTGACGTAATGGATAATGGTTCCGAATTATTAATCGGAGAGCCGAGTTTCAATCTCCATTGTGTTGGCTATATTGTCTTACTGGTAAATACTCTTGAGAAAGGTAGGAAATTATAATCATCTCCCCTACCTATGGGTTAATTAGTAAAACTTGTATATTTAAGCCATTATTATCTAAAAAAAATAATCTAGCATTAAATAACCTGCAATAGGTTGATGAACTGTAAAAAATGAACCAGTCAAACACCATTAAAACTGAAATAATAGAAAATGTTTTTTGCCGTTTTCTCTTTTATTTATCTTTATTCATTAACAGAAGATTTCATTCTCCTTTACCTTGAACAATTATAGTCAACAGTGAAAGAGACAAAATTGGAATAAATCAGATAGTTATAAATGGTGCAGCATAAATTCCTCCCAAATATATATTCCAGAAATATCTCCCACATAATTGTATGACATCAGTGAAAATGCTTCCTTCATCTAACTAATGTCTTACCTTTATGTGGGAAGTACATCTGGGAGGTATATTTGAGAGATGTTTCTTCCACACCATCTACTTAAAATCAAAGAGATAGTCGACATTTCTGGGGGAAATAAAGAGGAAAGCGGGACCGGAGAATGTAATACTCACAGGATATACTGAAGGCAAGAAAGGAGGGAGAAGAATCAAATGAAATATCCTCTTTTGACGCTAATATTCACCTGATACTAAGCTCAAGAGCATCTAAAGGTGGATATTTGCTTAATGAAGTTGTTTTATGGACGTAAGAATTTTGAGGATATGTAGGATAGATAACGATTAAGATTCAACTTGGAGAGGTTTCTTGGTAAAGGGAACGGTGGCTGAGGAGTCTGTTCTACAAAATCGCAGCTGCCTGAAAAACACTTCTTACTAATGGAATTCGAAAATAATGAGGATGGTTTTCCTCTGTGGCACAGCAAGGTAGCTTTAAAATCGTAACTGGTAGAACTAGGGAATTTAGCTCGTGAGTCCCATTTGCCATGGAAATAGGAGTAGATTAGCGATAGGCTTGCGGTTTAGGCGTCTGTGGGAAAGGGTCGGTTCGGTGGACAATATTTCATCATCTATAAGTTCGTGTAAACACTTTCGAACTCTGTCGAGGCGACAAAGAGAGGACTGGGCAGTTCCAACACATATATGGCAGCAATATAGCATTTTTGTCTGATCAACATAAGGAGTTTGTGTAAAGGGATGCCAGAACAGGGACAGTGAGGGGGGGGTAAGTAGGTTCAAATATTGCTTAGAGATACAAACAACAGGAAGTAGGGGTCATCTATTACAGCCCACGTGTACTGAAGCCGGGGCAGAACATAAGGAGATGGTGATTTTTACTTACTTTTCTCATGTGTTTATCTACTTCGTTTTTCTTTTGCGTTTCTTTTTTCTTTCATCTTATGTCTTTTTATTTAACCAATGTCTTTTTCTTTTACTTTTCTGCCTTTGAATGTTATTGTTCGTTGTTTTGCGCTGGTTTCCATCGGTGATTTCTTTCTTTCTTCGATTTTTTTTCCATTTGCTTCGATTTATTCCCTCCTCTCTTTTGAAGAGATTTATTTTTTTCTCAAATTCTTCGCTCATTTTTTTTTCGTTGCTTACATTAGCGACTTACTGTTTCTTTTCTTAATATTAACCCCCTATATGTTTATTTATTTCAATTTTGTATTTTGTCATATTTAATTTTTTTTTAAACATAAAGCTAGCATCACTCTGTACAAGGCCCGGGGCTACTCGAGATAGAGGGCTAAGTTAAAGGGTAGTTTATATGCATAGGAAGGGAAGATAACAGTTAACTCTAAACTTGAACAGGTTAAGATTGCAGTGATCGGGGAAACGTCCTCTTGGGAGTATGTTCCACAGGGAAGTGGTTCGCGGAAACAAACTGTTTCTTTCTGTTACTTCTCACTGATGGAATACGGAAGGAATGTGGGTGATTTGCTAATACGTACGTGGTATGGCGGATCCTTGACGGGAAGGTTAGACCCTGCTAAACCAAGTAAAGTAGTTCGCCTGAGCACTTTCCATGGAAGTAACGATAGAGCAGTGAGAGATTCACCAGATCCTGCCTGTGAGAGTGGGCTTGGTGGGTGACAAATATTTCTTCTCCAAAATGGATTCGGAAACGCTTTTGAACTCTATCAAGAATGGAAAAATGAAAACTTGGCAGCTCCCGCTCAAATTCATATTTGTTTATTTTTTTTCTTTTAATCATTTATTCTGACTCCCATATTTAATTGCTCATTAACTTTTACTCGTCTTATTCTAATGAATTTTTTTTTTATTATCTTTATTTCTTTATTCGATTTTTATGTTGATTCCTTCGACTTTTCATATTTTTATGATTTGTTTTAATTTTTCTCATTCTTCCTTCACAGCGCTTTTCATGTCTGCATTTCCTTGTTTTCTTTTATTATCATTCTTTCTTTTCCCTTTCTTTCTTTCTTTCTTTCTTTCTTTTCCCTTTCTTTCTTTTTCCCTTTCTTTCTTTCTTTCTTTCTTTCTTTTCCCTTTCTTTCTTCGTTTCTTTTACCTTTCTTTCTTTCTTTCTTTCTTTCTTTCTTTTCCCTTTCTTTCTTTCTTTCTTTCTTTCTTTCTTTTTTCCTTTCTTTCTTTCTTTCTTTCTTTCTTTCTTTCTTTCTTTCTTTCTTTTACCTTTCTTTCTTTCTTTCTTTCTTTCTTTCTTTTTCCTTTCTTTCTTTCTTTCTTTCTTTCTCTTACCTTTCTTTCTTTTCCCTTTCTTTCTTTCTTTCTTTCTTTCTTTCTTTCTTTCTTTCTTTCTTTCTTTCTTTTCCATTTCTTTCTTTCTTTCTTTCTTTCTTTCTTTCTTTCTTTTCCATTTCTTTCTTTCTTTCTTTCTTTCTTTCTTTCTTTCTTTCTTTCTTTCTTTCTTTCTTATTGAAACTCGTGTTTTCTTATTTTAATATCCCTACTCTTCTCGGTTTTCCTTCTTTTTTCGTTTTTTTTTTCTTTCTGACTTTCGTTACATTTTTATGAACTTCCGTTTTATTATAAGCTATTGCTTAATTATCGCTTTACTATCATTTCCAACTTTCTTTCTTTCTTTCTTTCTTTCCCCTGAAGCTCTTTCCCTTTTTTAAAACGCTATTTTTCTCTTTCTTACTTCTTTCTCTCTTTCTTTATTTTCCTTGAAGCTCCTTCTTTTTTAAATGCTACATTCCCCCCACTTATTTCCTTCATTCCTCTTCCTTTCTTTCTTTCTTTCTTTCTTTCTTTTAAAGCTATTCTTTATTTATTTTATTGTCGCTACGTTTCTCAGCTTCCTGTATCCTTTTCCATTTCTTCTTTCTTTTGTGACACTTTTTTTTTGCCACCATTATTTTCTCCTTCTCTTTTTTTCCTATTTTCCTTTATTATTCTTCATGGCATTCTTTCATTTTCTTCCAATTTTTCAATTTAATTATCTTCACATTTCCTTCCATTTTATTGCCACCATTCTCGTTTCACCTTTCAATTTTTTCTCTCCTTTACAACGCTTTATTTCTCTCTCCGGTTTCTCTTTCATTTTATTTCTTATGACGCCAAAGAAAATTACTGACCAAAATGCGCCTTTAATGTCACTTTCAAGGACAAAATGCCCGCGGGCGAAATGCACTCACACGAGAAAATTACGACCGAGGAGCCTTATAGATCAACGCAAAGTCGAAGGATTGATTCTACAGACTTGACACGTACGGCAAAATCGATTGTATACACCTTTACCTTCCGCTTCCCAAAGTCTTGACACAGGGGAGAAAATCAATGTAGCTGACGTCGGTGCCGTTAACTCCATCTTGAACCGATCGGCTCTCTGCTAAAACCCCATCAATATTATGCTAACTAACGACACAGCAGACTTGTTAAGGGATAGAAAAAGATCCAACCCTATATTCCCAGTGACGGATTGGTTATCCTGTGTTCGACAAGGCGGGATAAAACGATGATTTGAAAGACATACAAGAGGTTCAACATTTTAAAGACTAACACTGTCAGAGGCAACTGAAGCAATCTAAGTATGCTGGTAAGTCCCCAAACGATTTTACAAGGTAATAATATATATATATATATATATATATATATATATATATATATATATATATATAGTATTTACATTAGTCGGACTATTGTCCTCATCTTTGTCGCCATATTTGTCCCAACGTTTCGGCCGTTGTACGCTCCGGCCTTCTTCAGGTGGTTGGAATTTCGAACTGAACCCTCCACTGCCTTAACCGGGTATTGAACTCACACTCTTTGGGTCTGTCACTGGATCTAACCAACGCCAGTATCCACTGTGCCATGTGTCCGAAACGTTGTTACAAAATGGCGAAAAAGATGAGGACAATAGTCCGACTAATGTAAATACTGTACATAATACCTCATCTCAGAAATATAGACAGACATATATATATATATATATATATATATATATACCTGTAACAGTATAATTGTTCATCACACAAAATGTTTAATATACATATATATATATATATATGTATATATATATATATATAACGAAAAGAATATATATATACCTGTAACAGTATAATTGTTCATCACACAAAATGTTTAATATATATATATATATATATATATATATATATATATATATATATATATATATACCTGTAACAGTATAATTGTTCATCACACAAAATGTTTAATATCTAAAATATAACACTAAACTAATTCAGTCTCTTTTTTCCAGGTTTTTCGTTTAAGACGTTTAGCCACTTTGACACCATGTGTCGTAAGAATCACTTTGAGTTATTCAACTGGGAAGCGACCAGGTTAAAAGCGTTTTGTGTCAATCCCACTCTCTGCGTAAGTGAGCAATGGTGAGAGGAAAATATCATTCAGGCTTTCTGTAATCGTACCAACATTGATGCTCTGGTGTCCATCTCTAAAGTGAACTGAAGAGCCATCACGAGAACGCTGAATAATTTTTAAAAGAGGGAAACATTACTAGAGGAAAACTGGATCAGGAAGTCACAACAGTAAGAGGAATCATCATTTCAACTTAGAGCTAAAGAGATCAATTAGAAAAGATCAAACTCAATCCATAAGACGTTTGTCACGTGAAAGAGAAGTTTCAGCTATAACAATCCAAAGAAAAGTGAAAGAGACTTGAAAATGGAATTGTGCGTAAAACATGTGAGGCAACTGTTACTCCAGGACAGAAAGTTGGAAGATTAGAGAGGGTGAAGAACATCTTGAATAAGTTGGAAAATGAACATGGAATAATATATATTGAGATATTTGAACTTTATTCCAATCCTTCATGAGCTTCCTTTCCTTAGCTACGATTAATTAATGACATACATGTTATTTTCGTTTACAATTGATTTCCTCACGATTCTTCTGTTAAGCTTTGAGAATAGTTATACATTCTTATTGCTCAAAGTAGAGTTCATTGTGATATAAATACTTCGGAGAATTCCAGTAAGATATATTTAATCATTTCTAAGATAAAGCATTTCAGATCTTAGCATAATAAATGAAAATTTTGGTTTTTACAGGATTTGGACAATTTTTATGTTACAACCAGTATATATATATATATATATATATATATATATATATATATGTGTGTGTGTGTGTGTGTGTGTGTGTGTGTGTGTTTAGGCAGTATCCCTTCTTTTAAACACGTTGTATTAAACACCGAAGAAAACATAGTCCTGCTGATTGAGATTATATTGATATATGTATATATTTTCCAAAAGACAACCGAATACTTTCGAACGTCATCGTTCATCATCAGGGTCAAATTTTTTTTAACTTTGGCCAATTTCTTTGCAGCGGAATCGTATTGCTACATTTATACGAACCAAATAAACGTTACGAAATATTTTTTAGCTTCAAAAGACGCTTTAATGTTATTACGGGCAGGCGAAGCCATGTGATCAAGTGAAGGGGTGAAAAGATTTTTTATTGTAAAACCCCCAAAATCGAAAAATACGTTATGGAATTTAAAAAAGTTCAAGGGAAATGGTTATGTGATTTATCCAATTACGTAGAAATATCTTATAGATATTCAAGGATGTTTCCAGAAATATTATAAGCTGTGCGATTAATAAGAGGTCTATTGCTTCTAATATATAGTGCCTCTAAAATTTTAAGGCGTCTAGTTTCTGTATGTTGATCAATAATTTCAGTATTGTCTATAAGGATTTTACGAATGTAGGAATGCAGAAGGGAAACAGCATGTAACATAAGATGTTGTTTAATGGCACTAGAATTTTTTAAATGCATATTATATATATATATATATATATATATATATATATATATATATATATATATATATATATGTTAAGAATTTGGTAAAGCGAATTGGTAAATCCAAGGAGGATGAAATCCTGAGAGCTTTAGGTCATTCCTCCTACCCCAATTTAAAGCTTATTTGAGAGAGATGTAAATTTTAACCCTCCCTATATTTTGTATTGTCTCTTTAACCACTACCTTCACCCTCCCTGTTTAATTACAAATATTACACTACCCATCAATTTCTAATCACATTTTTCCTCTCATTTCATTGTTGGAAGTGTTACCTGATGATCCGAAATCCTTTAAAAGGATTTTGATGAAATAAATGATTGTAATGGTACCTTAAAGTGTCTGTTTTTCATTAAATTTATATATATATATATATATATATATATATATATATATATATATATATATATATAGGTGTATCAAAAATACTTCTACAAATTTTGGTGGAGGGTTCTTCACAAGGAACAAGTGCAAATGTTCATATAGACATATATCCGTAAATCCTTTTTTTTTTGAGTTATTTAAAGTTTACGAAAGACAATCCAAGATGCAATCAAAAAATACTTATTGTAATAGTTTGTGGTGCCACGGATCTTGTCTCAGCAACGCGAACATAAACAGCAGCAAAGGTTGGATGAATCGGCTGCCTTTCGTCTGGAAGCGCAAACTGATACAGTCTTGCAGCCTCGCGTCTATTACCATTCGTGCGGTCGTATGCAAAAATCATATCTGCCTGATCACAATATGAATATCTTGCCATTGTTAAACGGAACACTTCTCATTTAACTCACTACTACACACGTTAAACGTTGAAGACAGACTAACCACAAATGTACACGAATGACAAATGTAATCTAGTCTACATTACAACACAGCGTCATCTACCGCAAAATTTGTTTAAATTTAATTCAAAATCGAAGGATTTGCGGACATATAATTTAGATGGACTTTTCTCCTTTTTTGTGTGAGGAACCCGCTCCCAAATTTGTAAAAGTATCTTTGGTACACTCCGTATATATATATATATATATATATATATATATATATATATATATATATATATGTATGGAAATTTCTCCGATTTATCCAGTAGAGAAGACAATATTTATGAATAAAAATGACAATCGGAAAACCAGTAATTGCTGACGCGTTTCGTCCAATGTGGACTTTATCATATTTTTCGTATTTTGCTTTGTTAAAGTCCACAAGTTTTCCGATTGTCATTTTTATTCATAAATATATATATATATATATATACAAGGTAACCAAAAAAGTTATCTCCGTTTTTAAAGGAAAAAAAGAAAACTCTTCACAGTATGTGTAACTTATATTTAGTCTTCGAAGTATTCACCATCGGCATCCACCATCTTCTGCCAACGTGTCTCCAGCTGTTCAATGCCCTTGTGGAAGAACTCTTGACGGAAATAAGTCCGTGAGGGCTTTGCGCAAGTCTGCTTCATTGGTGAAGGATTTCCCACGAAGACGATTATCCAGGGAGTGGAAGAGGTGGCAATCGGATGGCGCAAGGTCAGGAGAATAAGGTGGATGGCACAAAGTCCTCCATCCAATTTTCTGTATGGTATCCCTGACCACTCGCGCGATATGAGGCCTGGCGTTGTCATGGAGGAAAAGCACACCTTTGTGATTCACCAGTGCTGGCTCCTTCTGGCGCAATGCCTTTTGAACACGTTTCAATTGCTGCGAGTATAGTTCTCCAGTGACCGTTTGGCCCGTTGGTAGCAGTTCGTAATGAACCACTTGACGACCTGTCCACCAGACACAAAGCATAATCTTGCGTGGGTGCATAGGCGGTCTTGCGGTGTTAGGAACAGCATCCTGAAGAGGCAACCAATGTCTGGAACGCTTGGGAGTTTCGTACAGAACCCACTTTTCATCACTGGTAAGCACTCGATTGAATAAGGATGTGGTACGGTGGCGAGAAAGCAGCGATACGCAGGATGCCACTCGTTGTCCCTTGTGGACTTCCAACAACGTTTGCGGAACCCACTTGCTCAGTTTGTACGTCTTACCTAGGCGTTGCAGGTGAAGTCTACGTTATCACCTCTTCAATGGCCACCTTCAGGACGCCGTCATTCAAGTCCTGTGGTCGTCCACTGCGAGGCTCATCATGGAGTGACAAATCTCCCG